AAGGGTGCATCCCGATGGAAGAAGAAATTGCGGAACGGAACAGTTACGGAAAAGAGATATGGTGGGGGTTAACCAATCAGAATAATTCCGGTTCAGTTCCGTTCCGGTTTTCGATGGATGGGCTCCCCATGGCACGGAGCTGTTGCGGAACGGAAAAGAAACGGAAAACTTTCTAACCTCAACAGTACAGAGAGCAGATCGAGAGTATTCGGAAAGTATCTGATTGCTTTACATAATTTTTGTGCTTGCTTGTGTAATTTTGTCATTTTTATCACTTCCACGAAAGAAGCAATGTCATTGGTACGTTATTATATAGAAAATACAATATATATATATATATATATTAGAATATTATCTCACATGTACTTTCACGTAAATTCAATTATTTAACATTAAACACATAACACTTATAAAATAGATTGAGTTAAATTGTTCTTATCACAAATTAAAAGATAGATAAAATTGACAATATATCATATATTTTATTCATTACCAGAAATTCAAATGTGGATATTGTGGCTGGATTCTTTGGGACAAAAATGGGACAATATCACATGGTTGCTTTAAAAATTGTAAAGAGTTAATAATGGACGAAGATAGAAATCTCTTTAGAAAAGGTATATATGTATATGTGTGTGTACGTACAAGAAAGACAAATATTTAACAAACTATTATCATTCAGTTTTTGTAATTGTCATTCAAGTTAACTAATGCTTAGAATACTTAATACATATGTGTGCTAAACAGTCGAAAATAAATCTGAATTATTTAGATTCTTTAGAAACAAATGTGGAAAATGAGACTTATGGAAGCGGCACTGCCTGTATTGAAGAAAGTATTACCTACGAGAAAGAAAATGTCCCAGAGAATATTGAAGAATGTATTACCCACGATACAGAAAGATTAGATGAAGATTTAATAAGTGCAGTAAAAGAGCGACCAGCTTTATATGATTTTCGTATGCCAGTCAAAGAGCGAGGAAGGAAACAAAAGGACTGCTTGTGGCAAGAAGTCAGCAAATGTTTGAAAGGTAGAATTTACATTTACATATTTCCTTACATGTTTATTCATTTGCGAGGTTTCACACACACACACACACATATACAATATTAACATACATATTGCATGCAT